ATCAGCTTGTGTATGTATTCAGCTCCCTTGTGTCTTGTCTTTGTCTCCGGATTGTCCTTATAGTGTGTATTGCCTTCTGTCCTGTTTCCTGTTCACTCTGTAAGTAAGTTGCTCTGTAAGTCCTTTGCTTTGTTTTTGGAAAATAAATATTGTTTAACTTTTACTATTACCATACCATACCATACCATACCACTTTATTTATAAAGCACTTAAAACAGCAACAAGGCCAACCAAAGTTCTGTACAGACAAAACAACAGGTAACACACAAAGCAAAATACAAAATGAGGTAAATCAGAATATAGACAAAAAACGATGCAGATAATGACGACAAACCAGTGTAGAGCATACAGGATCAAAACACAGATCATCTTGTGTTGAAAGCTATTGAATAGTAGTGAGTTTTTATGACATTTTAAACTTTTGTTGTTTTTTATGAGTCAGCAGCTATTGAGTCTGCTGTCATCCTCCTGCCTGTTGGCAGGACCTGGTAGAATCTGGAGACCCAATCTGAACCCAGCGGAGGATGATCACTCTGTTTAAGTTCCTGGCTCGAGAGGCAGACAAAACTGTCCGAAGATGAGAAGAGGGCACAGTTTTGTGGGACCCGCCTAGCCATCAGACCTGTGTCTTCAGCTTCTCTATCTTTCCTCCCCTCACTGCTGCACCCCACTGCTGAACCTCACCGTCCACCTCCTCCCCAAGTCCGGCGTGGAGAGGAAAGAGCTTTGCGGACTGGTGAGCAGTCCAGCCCATGGTTTCCAGAGGAACGTTGGAAAATTTCACTGGGCGGGAGGTGCCCGTGCCCGCTAGAGGAGCGGTCCGGCTCTTGCTCACTGGAAGAGTGAGGGGGGGAGTTCACTGAGGGAGAGGTGCCCGTGCCCCCACTTGCCAGAAGAACAGTCCAGCTTTCCCTCGCCAGAGGTGCTGGAGCGGTTGAAGGCTTCTGTGGTGGAGATGTACCTGGATCCGCCCAGCTGCAAGGAGGTCCAGGAGGACACCTCTTTTCCGCCCAGCTATGAGGAAGGTCCAGGTCAACGCTATTCACCCCTGTCCTCCTGAGGGTTTCACAGCTGCAAATCTACTGAACCCTGACTCTCCAGATGCAGACCTGTTTCCTGCCTGGGCAGCTACTTTCTCCTGGATCAGCTCGCCCTCCTGGGATTTTTTCTGTTAAGCCCGCCTGGCTTTCTCTTTCGCCCAGCTGCGAGGGGGTCCAGGTGGACTCCTCTTTTCCATCCAGCAGCGAGGGGATCCAGGCAGACGTCACTCATCTGGCCAGTGAGGAGGTCCAGGCAGAAGCTCCCCAATCCTGTCGTCCAGAGGGTGTCCCAGCTGCAACTCTGACCCCATCCTGTCTGGCTGCAGCCCTGACCTCTGGTCCCTGACTCTTCTGCTGCAGATCTGACGCTCGAGTCACCTACCACTGAAGATCTGGAGTCAACCGTCGATGATCTTCAGTCTGCAGAGGTCTCAGGGTCCTCGCCTCATTCTGGCTCCCCGTCTTGCCTCCTCCACGATCTGTCTACCGGGGTTTGAAACCATGGCTCGTCTGCTGAGGTCCTTGTCCCTGGTTTGGTTATGGAAGTCCTAATCTGCCTGAGTCTAGGAGGTCACAGGTGGATGCCCCTGCTTCCCACGGATGAATGATCTCCTGGCCGTCCGACAGGACCCTGGCTTGGGGATGGAAGGTTTCCTGGCAGCCCCCCTGATCTCCTGCCTCGTTGGGGATGGTCACCGGACCACCTGCCTGAGCATTAGACCAGCCTTGGACAGTCTCCTGACTGTCCACCTTGACTCTGGGTTGGGGTCCTGGGTTTTGTTCTTTTGTGTGTTTAGAGTTCCCCAGTATTTTTGCCTGTTTGTTTTTTGTTCTTTTGGTCCTCTGTATTTACCCGTCCTGCTCCATCCTGTTTTGGCTCGCCTCCCACCCAAGTTGGATGTAATCTCGTCCTTAGGATGTCAGGGGCCATCTCTTGAGTGGGGGGTACTGTAGGGTTTCTGGATTTTTGTCTTTGCCTGTTTCCTCATGTTTCCAGTTCAGTGTTTTCCCTCCTTATATTCAGCTCTTGTCTCACCTGTGTCTAATGTTAATCACTGCAGGTGTCTGTTATTTGTTCCAATCAGCTTGTGTATGTATT